GGTTTGGCTCAGGGGATAGAGCGTCAGCTTGAGATCTGTTTATGTCCCAGCCTTCTATTCTAGTTCTAGTCTGAGTAAAACTGTTCATCAGTTTGTAATTTTTAAGTAATTACTATCTTGTTTTTCATACCATGACAAAATATCATATCCCCAGGAGTAGCACACTGGGTTCCAAAAAGTGCTGATGGTGTCCTTTCAACCATAAGTTTTAATTTGATGAATTTGATTATCTGTTTCTCTCTCACTAAATGTTCCTTAAAAAGGAGGCAGCCTACTGACCTTGAACCACAGATAGGTGACCTTGGAGACCCAAGAAAACATGGAAGCTGTTGTAAGACCAAGAGGGGAGGTGTGGCTCATTTCTGACTGTTCCTTCAAGTACTGTTGTGAAATGTGCTTCTTGGCACAGAGCAGGTGTTCATGGGACAGTGGGGGTTACTGTTTCAGAGGTGTGTTCTTCATGACATGGGCTCTGGGTTCTGTCCCTGCTTCACCTCAGAGTCACCTGGGGCTACATTTTGCCAACTCTGATTGTCTTTCCACTTAGGAAAAAGAAAGTATGAATATTAAACTAAAGGGACCACTTGTGTTTATTTTGACATTAGATTTGGCTATTTCCACCTAACTGATCCCATAGCAGAAAATTGACAAAGTGATATAGATGTTGCATTTAAACATGTTTCCCAGAGAGCAGGCAAAGATCCAGCCTGAGATGGGAAATTTAAGGATTGGAAAAGGCCTCAAGACCTGCCCTGGGAAGACATGAAGCTGATGCCCAAGGATTAGAGTAGGACATTCCCAGGCTGTCCTAACTTGTGCACACCAGTTAGAGTCCCTATTTCTTTTCTTTTTTTTAAATTTCTTTATTGATTTCATAGACGGGAGAGGGAGAGAGAGAAACATCAATGATGAGAATCATCGATCCGCTGCCTCCTGCACGCCACCCACTGTGGATCGAGCCCACAACCCGGGCATGTGCCCCTGGCGGGAACCGAACCAGGGACCCTTCAGTCCACAGGCTGACGCTCTATCCACTGAGCCAAACCAGCCATGGCTAGAGTCCCTATTTCTGATCATAGCATTTCCTGAATAGGACTCGAGAACCCTGGTTTCACCTCAAAGGTGGGGGCCAGGGGACCCAACACTGTCTCTGAGTTGTGTGAATGGGGGCAGAGGTTGCCCGAGAGGCTGTTTCCTAAAGTCAAATTCAGTATCAAGAACTTCCTGTTGTGGCCTGTGCTCTTCTCCAGACCTCTCAGTTCTTTATCAGAAGGATGCCAAGGTGGTGGAAGGAAGTGTTGCACATGCAGAACAAGTTTACCATTTTTGTTGTTTCATATTGTTTTTAATATGTGCACATACTGTTTCAAGAGTAGTTATGAGTTTTCACAAATGCAGTTACACCACCATCAAGAGGGAAAACACTCCATCAACCCAAAGGAACACAGTCATGGTGGCGGTTTATACTGTATCCACCTCTGAACAGGGATTTGTTAGAGGTTCCTCCAACCCTGGACCTTTTCAAGAATGTCATGCAGTGGGTCACCATGTTGTCTTTTAAGTCCTGTTTAGAAACTTTGACACTGCGTTTGCAATGGTACAGAATTATACAAGTCTAGCAGCGTTCTTCAGAGTGAAAGTTTTTGACTTTGGACAATGCGGCACACATTAGGACTTCAAAATGGAGATTCTACTGTTATGAGTTATGTAAATCGGGACAAGATTTCTACTTGCCTGTCTTCATTTGCATGGGGGGGAGGAATGATGGGGGCAGGGTATCATAGGAGATACCAATAACCATGAAATCATAAAATATCTACACCGCTAAGAAAACATAAACTAGATGTTTCTTCCCTGCAGCGACTGTGTCAAGCAGCAAGGATGGACTGGCTCCCGGCACAACACCTTTCCCCCCATGTTTCATAACATCTCCTGGAAGTGTAAACATGGAAATGATCCCTGAAAACAGCAAAAATGAGCATGGACAGCTTGGTGCCTTCTGTTGAAACAAAAAAACCCCACCTACTCTTCTCATCAGAGGCTTTGCTGATACTCTGTCTGCAGTTCATCTTAATTTTTCCTTAGATCATTATCCTCTGAACAGCAATAGCTTCCTGGTGTTTTAACCAGAAAACCACCCTAGACAGGCCCAGGAATCACTCTACTCACAGAAAACCCATGATGGGTACAACTGTGCAGATGACCAGAACTTTGAACTGGGAAGAACTCAAAAGTTTCAAAAGGTACACAAATTGTGTCACTGTTTGAATAGAGGCAAAATGATAGGCCATTTTAAAAATGAATTTCAAATTATTTCCATTTGTTTTAAATCGAAACTCCATGGCCTAAAGCAGTGAGAAGTCCCTCATGTCACACACCCATGCCCATATTCTTAATAAAGTAGCACATGCTCTGAAACTTACAACCATGTCTAGAGCTTTCAGGAAAACCATTGCTGTGAATCCCAGGAAGGCAGAACTTTGGGGATGTTTGCCCATTGTTTAAATCCACACTCTAGCAGATCCACAAGTCTTTAAGAAGTATTACATGGGAGGAAAGATGATCAAAGATGACACCCCCATTTACTGAGGCCTGTACTCTCCACAATGAAGACGTATAATCCACCCCATTCCCAATTATCTTACCTGTCAGTATCTGTGCTTACTTTTTTTCTTTTCTTTTGAAAATAATATTGTTGTTGTTGTTTTAAGACAGAGAGTGAGATAGAAACATCAATGAGAATGAACATACATCAATCAGCTGCCTCCAGCACACACCCTACTGGGGATCGAGCCTCCAACCTGGGCATGTACCCTGACCATCAATCAAACCATGATCTCCTGGTTCATGGGCTGATGCTCAACTACATAGTCACACTCACCTGGCAACAACTTCATTTTCTAAGACACTAAAGTGTTTTTTATTTAACCATGATCTCCTTTCCCAAAAAACATAAGCACCAGCAATGCAAGACATTTTTTCTTTCATGCCTGTATGACTTGGACAGGTGTGCTAAATTGGGCATATTTTCCATGTAAATTGCCTGGCACGTGCAGGATGTTGACATTATCATCACGATCATACTTCCACCTTGGCCAGGCAACTCAGTTGACTCGAGCGTTGTCCCAATATGCCAAGCTTGTGGGTTCTTTCACAGGTCACACAAGAATCAACCAATAATTGCATAAACAACTGGAACAACAAATCGATGCTTCTCTTTTTCTGTCTCTCAAATCAACTTTTTTTAAAAGGAGGGGGTAAAGAGTAAAATTCTGTCAGCAAGAGCAGCTTCTTGGAAGAGAGATCCTAACTTTGTTTTCTTTCTAGGTTTGGGTTCTTTGATAATATTCCTAAACTTATAAACCTCAATTGACTCATAAAAAAAGTTAAATATTTTGTTAAGAAGTACATGACTTTATAGTAATATATATACTTAACTGAGGTACTTTTTGCAAAGGTGCCCAATACAGCAAAGTAAATATTTCAGTATTTAGGTAACAACTGGCAGCCTATTGAAAAGAAATCTATCTTGTTGAAAAGGAAATGTCCCATGTCCATAATCACACAGAGCTACTCCATGACCACAATGAATCAAGACAAAAGCAAAGGCATTCATATTTGCACATGTGATCAAGGAGAACGGGTTACAAAGGAATAAAAATAATGAATATTGCTTTTCTCACTAATATGATTTGTGCTTCTTACAATTTTGTTTAGCATGATTACTTTTCTGCCTTCTAAAGAAAAATGATTTTCATTATGTAAGATAGAATGAAGTTCATTTCCTCCCAGAATTCAATGCAGAAAAATGTATTGCTTCCTTGAATGGAAATCAAATTGTCTATCACAAGGCAAAATATAAAAAGAAATCCTTTTAAAGGCTGCTGTTACTGTTACATCCCAGGCGTTTATGGTTTCTGATCATGCTTATTAGTTCAATTCACTCCACCTCATTTCTCTTTTACTACAGATGTGATTTTGTTGGTCTCTGGTGAGAGGGGACTAAAAAATACATGACTGAAGTTTTTAATACGTTGAATGAATAAGAGATGAGTCTGTGCCAAATATTATAAATATAAAGTAATAAAAAATATAATTTCCCTGAGAAAACCATTTCTGAATTTGTACACATATGATACTTGTGACTCAGAATTTATAATGATTAAATGGAAAAATGTCAAATTGATTTGAAAATACATAATTACTATGGGATAATTAAATACATCCTCAGGAAATAACAAAACACCAAAACATTTCTTAGTATAAGAGTGGTTGGGAAACAGTTCCTATTTCATTAAAAATTACAGAAGCATTGCCCTAGATCAGTGGTCGGAAAACTCATTAGTCAACAGAGCCAAATATCAACAGTACAACGACTGAAATTTCTTTTGAGAGCCAAATTTTTTAAACTTAAACTATATAGGTAGGTACATTGTTCTTAACTTAATTAGGGTACTCCTAAGGCTTAGGAAGAGCCACACTCAAGGGGCCAAAAAGCCGCATGTGGCTCGCAAGCTGCAATTTGCAGACCATGGCCCTGGATCAGGGGTCCTCAAACTACGGCCCGCGGGCCACATGCAAATACAAATATTTTATTTGTTCCCGTTTTGTTTTTTTACTTCAAAATAAGATATGTGCAGTGTGCATAGGAATTTGTTCATAGTTTTTTTTAAAACTATAGTCCGGCCCTCCAATGGTCGGAGGGACAGGGAACTGGCCCCCTGTTTAAAAAGTTTGAGGACCCCTGCCCTAGCTGGTTTTGCTCAGCGGATATAGAGCATAAGCCTGCAAAATGAAGGATCCCAGTTTGATTCAGGTCAAGAGCATATGCCCGGGTTCCAGGCTCAATCACCAGCAGGGGGCGTGCAGGAGGCAACTGATCAATGGTTATCATTGATGTTTCTATCTTTCTCTCTCTCTCTCCCTTGCTCTCGGAAATCAATTTAAAAATATTTTTAAAAATTACAGAAGCATTTATTAGGAAAAAATGGACATAATTCTAATCACATACAACCCAAGATAACTGAAAATATTGAGAGATTAGGATCAGCTCTGAGTGACAGCACACATCAGAGTCTGCCGGAAATGAAGAAAGTGCTGATTCTCACATGGAAGGACTGGCTCAGAGCCCTCACTGCAGAGGGTGGTACAAGAACAAACTGTCAAGGGGCTCCTTGGCACTGAACCATTGCAGCTGTCACAATGGGATCTGAATTAGTCAGTAGTACCAACAGGACAAGATGATTACTAGAAAAACTAGATCTAATGCAAATGCAATCAACAGAACAGTGCATACCCTTCCGAGAACAGTCTCAACCATGACAGTCTACATTTGTTGCCTGGTGGACACCTATGGGCTTGAAGGAAAAGCCAACCTATAGTGGAACTTTAATGTTGAATTCTGAACAACTGTAAAGCTTACACCGACATCAATGGAAGTAAAGAAGTGGCTGGCAGTTTTGAGGCTATTCTTGGCTGGCAGGGCAAAGATTTAGAAAAACAAACTAAAATATTCTTTTTTTTTTTGAAAATATATTTTATTGATTTTTTACAGACAGGAAGGGAGAGAGATAGAGAGATAGAAACATCGATCAGCTGCCTCCTGCACATCTCCTACTGGGGATGTGCCTGCAACCTAGGTACATGCCCTTGACCGGAATCGAACCTGGGACCTTTCAGTCCGCAAGCCGACACTCTATCCACTGAGCCAAACTGGTTTTGGCAAATATTCTCTTCTTAATGCGAACCCCATAGCACAATTCCCAGCCAAAAGCAACACACACAAAAATACATGAAAATAATACACAGGGGGACTCTATAGTGAACAGTAAGTATGTACAAATGTGGCAAATACTTATTGACTAAAAGAATAGTGAATTTCAAGTGCAATTGAAAATTTAAAAAGGATATATATGCGTGTAGGGCCTATTCATTCAATACCCATCAGGGCACATTACTGGTCAGGGCACAGGAAAGACAACCCATTGGTGTTTCTCTCTCACATCTATGTTTCCCTCTATTTCTCTCTCTGCCTTCCTCACTCTAAAGCATCAATTTTAAGAAACCAACAAAAAAAGAATGAGTACTGATAATGACCAAATTTGTCAAAAGTTCATAGAACTTCTTTAATGCTGTGATTTTGGGGAGTATATGACTTCATTTGCAACAGGTTTACATGTACCAGTTAGTTACACTAATAGGATTTCCTTCCAGTGCAGTTTTCAAGATACTCTGAAAGTATTTGTTAAAATTTAAACGTTTTTTTTAATAGGAAATTATACAGTATCTATCCAGTGTACATTTTCACATTGTATTATTGTAGGGACATAAGGCAACATGAAGGTTTTCCTATATTTTTACATTAAATACAGTTCTCAAATTTGAGTTTTTTTAATGATCTTTCCAAGGAAAAGAGACAGCTGAAGGTTTTCCCACCTTCTCTACATATACACTATTTCAGCAGGTGCATTCTCACATGTCCAAGAAAGGCTCTCCCACATTCCTTATGTTCATACACATATTGTTGGGTGTGAGTCCCTTCATGATTTTGTAAAGAACTAGGATGGCCAAAGGTTCTTCTACAATCCTTACATGACAGGGATCTCTTCAATGAGTTCTTTCATTCTTTACAATAAACTGGAAAAAATGAATGCTTTCTAACCCTCTTACATTACTAGGGCCCATCCCCAATAAGGATTATCATACATGATGGCATAGCTGAGAGATAAATGAAGGCTCTTGGCTATTCTTTACATTAACGGTGTTTATCAATACATTTTGTTTTCACATGTCTGTAAAAACTAGTTGGAACCTAAAGGCTTTACCACATTCCTTGCATTGATGCGGTTTCTCTCCACTATGAGAAAAAGAATGGCAAAAACGGTTTACCTCATTTCTTATTCATGAGTCTTCTTTCCATTGTGAGTTCTTTTATGTCTTCGAAGATGTGAGGTACAACTGAAGTCTTTTCCACACTGCTGACATTCATAGGGCTTTTCCCCAGTATGAGTTCTTTCATGATGTCGGAGTACGGCACCTAGAGCAACGAAAGCTTTCCCACATTGCTTACATTCATAGGATTTCCCCTCAGTATGCATTTTTTTATGACTTCTAAGAGATTGGGAAAGACAAAAAGCCTTTCCACATTGCTGACATTCATAAGGTTTTTCCCCAGTATGAGTCCTTTCATGACATCGGAAGTAAGTTAAAGAAGAGAAAGCTTTACCACAATACTTACATTTATAGGGTTCTTCCCCAGTATGAATTTTTTCATGACATCGGAGGGAAGTTACATTAGCGAAAGATTTGCCACAATCCTTACATTTATAGGGTTTTTCCCCAGTATGAGTTCTTTCATGATGTCGGAGGTTACTTAGAGTAACGAAAGCTTTCCCACACTGCTTACATTCATAGGGTTTTGTCCCAGTATGAATTCTTTCATGACATTGGACAGAAGATCCATTAGCGAAAGTTTTGCCACAATGCTTACATTTATAGGGTTTTTCCCCAGTATGAATTCTTTCATGACGTTGGAGGGCACCTAGAGCAAAGAAAGCTTTCTCACATTGCTTACATTCATAGGGTTTTGTCCCAGTATGAGCTCTTTCATGACATCGGAGGGAAGATGCATAAGAGAAAGCTTTACTACAATGGTTACATTTATAAGGTTTTTCCCCCGTATGAGTTCTTTCATGACATTGGAGGTAAGTGGGATGAGAGAAAGCTTTGTCACAATGCTTACATTTATAGGGTTTTTCCCCACTATGAATTCTTTCGTGGCATTGGAGGGTACTTGGAAACATGAAAGCTTTCCCACATTGCTTACATTCATAGGGTTTTACCCCAGTATGAATTATTTCATGATATCGGAGGGTACGTACATTAAAGAAGGCTTTTCCACATTGCTTACAATCATACGGTTTTTCTCCGGTATGAGTTCTTTTATGATTTTGGAGGGAAGTTGAATAAGAGAAAACTTTACCACAAAGCTTACATTCATATGGTTTTACCCCAGTATGAATTCTTTCATGATATCGGAGGGTACGTAGAGTAAAGAAGGCTTTTCCACATTGCTTACAATCATACGGTCTTTCCCCAGTATGAGTTCTTTTATGATTTTGGAGGGAAGTTGAATAAGAGAAAACTTTACCACAAAGCTTGCATTCATAGCGTCTTTCTCCAGTATGAGTTTTTTCATGATTTCTAAGGGAGGCTGAATAGTGAAAAGCTTTCCCACTGGGGCTGCCTTCATGGCTTCGAATATTTTGGTGATGCTTGAAAGCTTTCTCAGGTTCCTTACACTTAGAAGGGTTTTCTTCATATTCTTGAAACAGGTATAGTTTGGGTCCAGTGAGAGAGCTCAGGTGATTATTCAAGGATAAGTAACGCATGAATATTTGCCTACACAACGTGGCTTTAGGTTGTTTTATTTCAGTAGGAGTTTCCCTCTTTCCATTATGATTTGAAATCTGGCTGAAGTTTTCTCTGCATTGACTACCATCCTTCCTTGTACAGACTCTCTCTACCATATGACTGCTGTAAAAATCAGAAGCATATTATTAATACTCTGTTAACAATTTAATATTTATTAATAGTATGACGATGACATTTTTACCGTTTTCAAGGAAAGCGGGAGATTTCTGTACATTCTGATTTTTGAAATTGCATATCCTAAAACCTCTGAAATAGGCTGGATCATAGATGTTATGAAAACACTTATATTCATTAATGGAAATTCTGTATATTGTTTCCAAGTGTAATTACTTTTTATACACTAAACTTTAGATCACATTTCAGAAAAAACATTTTAATGAGATTATTCTAAGAGTCAATACATTTAAAACTGGGCTGATACAATTGGATTACCTGTTTTAAGATTGTTTTGTGGCTCAGTGATTCAGCATAGACCCACCCACCAAGGGGTTGCCAGTTCAATTCCCCAAAAGGGAACATGGCCAGACTGAAGACTTATTAACCCCAGTACAGGGCATGCAGAAGGCATACAATTAATGCTTCTACCTCTCCATCACACCTCCACACTCTAAATTCAATAAAATAATATTTTCTCACCACTAGCATGGCTAAGTGGTTGAGCGCCGACCTCTGAACAAGGTCACAGATCGATTCCTGGTCAGGGCAAATTCTGAGGTTCTGGGCTTAATACCGAGTGTGGGGTATGCAGGAGGCAGCCATCATAATTCTCACTCATCATTGATGTTTCTCTCTCTTTCTCCCTCTCCCTACCGCTCTGAAAAAAATAAAATAGCCGTAACTGGTTTGGCTCAGTGGATAGAGCGTCAGCCTGCAGACTGAAAGGTTCCAGGTTCGATCCCAGTCAATGGCATGTACCTTGGTTGCAGGCACATCCCCAGTAGGAGGTGTGCACGAGGCAGCTGATCGATGTTTCTCTCTCATCAATGTTTCTAACTCTCTATCCCTCTCCCTTCCTCTCTGTAAAAAAATCAATAAAATATATTTAAAATAAAATAAAATATAAATATAAATAAAATACATCTATTTAAAAATCAAAAACAAAGATGCTCTTAATGCTCTCTCATGTCAACGTGACTCACCTAAGATTCATCCCATGATATTCATACTTATCTTCAGTGTCATGGTCTTCACCTTTTTCTTCTAAAATACATGCTAGAAAAAGCATTATAAACTATTAACACGTTAAGCGCCCAGTCACCGGTAACTGACACTATACTTTCCATCCAGAAGACAAAACAGGCTGGGCTCTTAACATGTTAAATAATATAAAAATGGTTAGATTTTAAGTACACAATGAGCTGTGATCATTCCTAGTTTAATTACCAATGTATTCCCTTTCCATATTTCATTTCTTGAAACAGCATTGATGAGCAAGCAATAGTAGTTTTCTAATTGCCTAAATAAGTAACAAGTTGGTGTAAGCCAGAGTCGCTCTGTGGTTGACCAACAACTTATGAACTGGAATGAACAGGGAGGTCACAGGTCAATTCCCAGTAGGACCGGTTTGCAGGCTAGATCCTCAGTGTGAGGCGCACAGAAGGTAGCCAACCAGTGATTCCCTCTCATCATTGATTATTCTATCATTCTCTCCCAACTCCTTCCTCTCTAAAATCAATAAAAACATATTTTTTTTTTAAAAAAAGGCCCTAATTGGTTTGGCTCAGTGGATAGAGCGTCGGCCTGCAGACCGAAGGGTCCCAGGTTCGATTCCGGTCAAGGGCATGTACCTTGGTTGCGGGCACATCCCCAGTGGGGTGTGTGCAGGAGGCAGCTAATGGATGTTTCTCTCTCATCGATGTTTCTAACTCTCTATCCCTCTCCCTTCCTTTCTGTAAAAAATCAATACAATATATCTTTTTTATAAAAGAATTTGTGATACCTACCTATTGATGCCAGGTTCCAGAAGGTTTCCAGCATCACATCTGTGTAGAGTTTCTTCTGGGTGGGATCCAGGAAAGCCCACTCCTCCATGGTGAACTCCACATTAACATCCTCAAAGGCCATTGAGTCCTAAAACATCAAACATATACATACAGGAGGAGAATGGGTGAGAGAGACAGAACTGGGGACCTATGCATAATTCATAGGAAGTTCACATAGGACATGTGGTCCCCAACATTCAGTCTATGACTGGATTGTAAGACTATTATTAATTTGCCGCACTCACTTTCTCAAGAACACATGGAATTTAATGATATAATTTTACTGTGATCACTTCTAGTCTTCATTGCTCTCTAATGTCAGGGTAAAGAGCACCTTGAACAACTTCTATATTAATAAATTAAAATGTTTCTATTTTAAGCCCATCGATTCCCTGTGAGAAAATTCATCTCCACTATAACCACCATTTGATCCATCAATCCATGAAGCATACTGTCATATTTACATGAAGTTTTAGTGACTACAATAAAGGCCTGATAGCTTTCTCTTCTATTCACATCAAACAGGAGAGGCCAAGTGGTGTGTGGAAATTCAACTTAGAACAAAATGTACTTGGCCATATTGTCCTGAAGTACTCCAGATAGTTAGAAGTAGCGAGATACACCCGAATGAATGAAAATATTCTTGTGGAGGAGTATGAATGATCATTTGTTTTTATAATATTTGTTAGTAACTCAGTTTGACCTTTTTTTGCCTCTCTCATTTCATGGAGATAAGAAGTTAGAGTTAGAGCTCAGGCATGAGCAAGCCAGGACAACTTAGCCCTCTACAAAAGCCCTCTACTCATGAGCCTGAGGGTTACTTGATACTGATTTTTAGGACACATAGACACGTATATTGAAATCATAAGATCACACTTAAAATTCTGGCAGAATCATAACACTGTAACTGGGGCCTGGACCTTGAAGAACAACTTAAGACTTGGCATGTACAAGGGCCTTTATTGAAGTCTGGACTATTTTCATGCTGAAATGGCACATAATTGACAAAGTACATAAGAGGTCAGGAAGGTAATGAAAATATCAGGCAGAAAACTCTGTAAAATTTGTCTCAACATATGTTCTACTCCTGAAACGAATACAAAATATAATGTAAACTGTAATTGGAATGTAAACTATAAATGGAAGCATATGGGGTGTTTATGGATAGGAAAAATTAATAGCATTAAAATGTCCACACGTCCCAAAGCAATCTATACCTTCAGTGCAATTACTATCAAGATACCAATGCTGGCCCTAGCTGGCTTGGCTCAGTGGATAGAGCATGGCCTGTGGACTGAAAGGTCCCAGGTTTGATTCCAGTCAAAGGCATATGCCTGGGTTGTGGGCTCGATCCCCAGTAGGGGGTGTGCAGGAGGCAGCTGATCAATGATTCTCTCTCATTATTGATGTTTCTATCTCTCCCTGTCCCTTCCTCTCTGAAATCAATAAAAATATATTTTTTAAAAAAAGAGATACCAATGCTGAATCTCATATAACTAGAGCAAATATTCAAAAATATTACATGGGACCACAAAACACCCTGAATAACAACAGCAATCTTGAGACAGAAGCACAAATGTGGATGAATCACACTACCTAATATCCAACTGTACTACAAGGCTATAGTAATCAATACAGCATGGTCCTGGCATAAAACAGCATATAAATCAGTGGGATGGAACAGCACCTAGAAATAAACCCATGCCTTTATGGTCATGGAATACTTGACAAAGGAGACAAGAATACACAATAAAGTAAAGATAGTACATTCAATCAATGATGCTGGGAAAATGTTAAAAAAAGGAAACTAGAACAGTTTCTTACAACATACACAAGAATAAACTAAAAATGCATAAAAAGCCCTAATCGGTTTGGCTCAGTGGATGGAGCGTCGGCCTGTGGACTGACAGGTCCCAGGTTCGATTCCGGTCAAGGGCATGTACCTTAGTTGCAGGCACATCCCCAGTAGGAGGTGTGCAGGAGGCAGCTGATTAATGTTTCTCTCTCATCAATGTTTCTAACTCTCTATCCCTCTCCTTTCCTCTCTGTAAAAAAAAAAAAAAAAATCAATAAAAATATATTTTTAAAAATGCATAAAAGACTTAAATGAAAGACTCAAAACCATAAAAAGCAGCTGAGACCTGGCTTCAGAGCCAGAAATGGAGCCTGGTGTGGTCATACTTTTTCTGATATGTCTCCTGTGAAAGAGAAACAAAAGAAAAATAAACAAATGGGACTGCATCAATCTAAAAGGAAACCATTAACAAAATAAAAAGGCAAACAACCCAATGGGAGAACATATTCACCAATGAAACCTCTGGTAAGAGGTTATTACTCAAAATTTATAAAGAATTTATACAAGCCAACACCAAAAAATAATTTTAAAAAAAGGTCATGGGTTCAGTTCCTGATCAGGGCACATGCCCCAGTTTTGTGTTTGATTCCCAATTGGGGTGTGAATGGGAGTGAACCAATAGATGTTTTTCTCTACCTCTCTCTCTCTCTCCCCTAGCTATCTCTCTAACATCAATAAAAACATACCTCACAGTGCGAATTTAAAAACATGAAATAAAAAACAGCAAAGAAAACAGCTTATATCAAAAGAAAAATGGGCAAAGGACCTGAATAGGTACTTCCCCAAAGAGGACACACAGATGGCCAATACACATATGAAAAATGAAAATTAAAACCACACTGAAAAATCACCTCACACCTGTCAGAATGGCTATCCTATCTAACAAAGAGGGAATATGCTAATTGACTGTCAGGCCCTCACAAAGATGGCAGCGCCCACAGCCGATAAGGAGGGAATATGCTAATTAACTGCTATGCCCTCAAAGTTGGCGGCACCCACAGTCACAAGATGGCAGTGCCCAGTCCCCTCAGCCCCGCCAGAGCAGCAGGCCCAGCCGGGCTGCACCTGCCTCCAGAGTCCCCCAGTCCTCTCCGCCCCCCAGCCGCCCAAGGCCGGCCCGAGGCACAGGCAAGCCTCAGATGTCAGCTGCCCAGCTGCCCAGAGACAGCCCAAGGTGCAGGAAAGCCTCAGATGGCAGCTGCCCAGCCAATGCCCGAGGCACAGGGAAGCCTTGGATGGCAGCTGCCCAGCCGCCCAGGGCTGCCCGAGGCTCAGGTAACCAGGGCAGGCCAAGGCTTTTGCTGCTGACAGTGGCAGCAGCAGAAGTGTGATGGGGGTGTCGCCATCCCCTGATCACCGGATCACCTGACGTCCCTGAGGGCTCCAGGACTATGAGAGCAGGCAGGCCGGGCTGAGGGATGCCCCCCTCCAGTGCATGAATTTTCATGCAGCGGGACTATAGTCATCAATAAAGGCACAAAGTGCAAGTGTCAGTATGGAGTTTCCTCTAAACTTAAAAATACAACTGACTCATAACCTGTTGGGGAGCACATGAGACTTGGTTAGAAAGTTTATAAGGAATTATTAACATGGGGGAGAGGATATGCGTGTGTTTCTACCCCCACAGGGCACTGTGGATTCCAGCTCAACAGATTAAACCCTGCCAAGGCATGGCACGAGACCAACCCTCTTCCAAAAGTGAAGAATTTGGGCCTGAGGACTCCACAGCCCCGAATGATGCACCTTCCCAGGACCCAAATGGCCGAGGGAATAACCTGGGGGATGATGATGAAGTTGATGACAGAGGCTGAGCAATTATTGGAGTGTATTCACACTCTACACATTCCAGATAATTAACCATTCCTCTTTTTTGTCTTTCTCATAGCTTGTAAAATCAGAACTGGAGCAGTAAATGCAATTCACAAAATCTGATAATCCAAAGCAGAAAGTTCACTGCCTCTCTTCTACCAATACATTCAGCAAAACAAAAAAGGGGAAGATGACAGGGAGCACTCGAGACTTGGTTGGAAAGTTTGTAAGGACATTCCGAGAAAAAAGCAATGTGTGGAACGCTGCCTGCCTTTTATGGAAATTCCAACTTAGGGGAGGGCTGAAGGCAGTGCCCGTAATTATTCCTTGACCTTTCCAAACAATTCTATGCACGTGCAGACACTAGGTATTTACTGGAATCCTTATACTTAATCTTTGGGGGTCCTTGCTTAAAGGATATTACAAACACAAGTGTCCTCCCAAAATTACTTACCTTACCGATCATATCTGAAAGATAAACTTTATCTTAAACTGCTGTTACAATAAAAGCCTAACAAGGCAGGCAATCGAGGCTGCCTGGGTTCCTTTAGCCAGGCAGTACCTTAGGCCTCTCTTTCACAGCAAACTTTGTGTCAGAGTAATCCATTCATCTGTCCCTCAGGGTCTGCAGGTCAGCCCAGCAATGACCCAGATATTTCACTTCTGGGAATATATCCAAAAAAACTCAAAACACTAATGCAAAAAAAAAAAAATGCAATCCCTGCCTTCATTGTAGCATTTATAATAGCCCAGATTTGGAAGAAGCGCAAGTGCTCATCAGGAGGTAAGTAGATAAAAAAGCCGTGGTAGAAGTCAATTGAATATTACTCAGCGGTAAAAATGAAGGAAATCTTACCCTCTGTGACAGCATGAATGGACCTGGAGTGCATTATGGTAAGTGAAGAAAACAAGTAAGAAAAACACAAATATCACATGTATTCATTGATATTTGGAATGTAAAGAAGAGAAACTAACGAAGTATACAGAGACTCATAGATACAGAGAACAGACTGACAGCTGTCAGAGAGGAGGGAATGAAAACAGGGGGGGGGGATTAAGCAACACAAACAAACTCTTAGACTCAGACAACAGCATTGGGTACCAGAGGGAACAGGGAGTGTGAGGAGCTAGAAGAGGGTAAAGGGGAGGATTAAATGGTGATGGAAGGAGACTTTGGGTGGGGAACATACAATACAATGTACACATGATGTTATGGAATTGTACACTTAGAATTTATATAATGTTATTAGCCAATGTCATCCCAATAGTTTTTTAAAAAATTCTTCAATTTGTAGACATAAAACTTACAAAAGTGATTTTCTCCAAAAACTTGATTCTACTCTAGGGGCTCTTCTCCCAACTGGTCACATTTCTGACCTCACCTGTGAGTTCCAGCAGCAGCAGGACAGTCTATCCCAGGCACA